ACTTTCTTTCCTTTTTTCTAGTTTCTTCTTTTATTTTTGTCTTATACTTCTAGTTTTCTGGTTGGTTTGTACGATTAGTTCAAGACTTCGTCCTTAAATTGGATTTTTTATCCAATGATTCGAAATATCCAGAGTAAAAAAAAAAGTTGTGCCGTTTTTAACAACTCTTTTTTAGTTATAGCACGAAGGTTTGATTACCTAGTGATAACCAGGGGCGGATCCAGAAGCCTTATTAGTTGGGGGCACAATACAAAAAAAATCCAGAAATATAAAGAACATGTGGCATTTTTTATTTTTATTCACTGAAATTAAGAATATTAGGTGAAATTTACTTGAGTTACATAAGAAAAAACAGAAAACAGTAGGGGTCACGTGACCCCATACCACATAGCCTACGTCCGCCCCTGGTGATAACTATATACCAAAAAAATAAAAAATAAATAAATACCTCATCTAACTTCATTATTAAATTAAAAATCTAACATACGTACAATTTACATAATAATAGTGGGATTAACTGGTTAAACCTTGCTTTAAAAAAAGATTCCCCCAATGTGAACGATGGAATTGTGGACTTAGAAGTCAGCTTTACAAGCAATCCCCATTCAACACATGGACGTAGGATGTCAATACCAAAGACATCACCATTTGATTATATTAAGTCAATCAATCAATTTTAAATTTTTTTTTGTTGGTAAGGTCATTAGCGGGCAGGAAAAAGACGGATACAACACTATAATTGGTCATCCTAATATATCACTGTCAAAATAAAATTAATTGAAATGAATTTTCACCAAATGTCTAAAATATTTCTGATAATTTATAACCAAGAAACAAGGCAATCAACGTACTTTGTTCTTTTCGTAAACATGTTTTTGTCTTTGGCCTCACAATCATCGATCGAACACAGGCAACCCTGATCAATCAGATCATTTGAATATAAATATCTTGTTTTTTTAATAACAAAAGTCATCGTAAACTGAAATCCAGATCAATCCTTTAAACATCTAGATTTTAGCCATTAAAAACATCTTTCAACAGCTAAACATATGTGTGTTTACACCATGTCCCCTAAATTACAAGCTTGCAACAGTTTTTTTTTTGGGGTAATCATGTTAATTGTCAAGACAGCTTGCAACTGTTGGATTAAAAATCCAGGTTCTTCTATTTCCTCTTTCTCCTTTTCTTTTTCTGGTGAATCTCTAACCAAATCTTCCAACATAAACCACATTTTATCTTGTATTTTAGTTGTTCATTTTAGAACCTTCTAAAAAATTTATTCACATAATTTAAGAAACCAATATTTATTTTAAATATGATTAAAATATTAAACACTCTTATTTTATAATCAGCAATAGTGTATTAGTTATAGTTATTTTACTTTTGTGTTGTTCACTTTATTTTTTGTTAAATTTTATTCCTTTTTTTCAAATTCTAGTTTATTTCATTTGTTCCTTCAGCTCAAAAAAAAAAAATTATGTAGCTCATATAAAAAAACATGATGCTAATTTACTGTGATTTTCTGACATAAAATTTGAAGTTATTATTCCTTACGATTTCAAGCTAATTTAAGTTTTTCTACACAATCGAAAAGGATTGGCAACGTGATTCCAATGACCAAACTAACATCAAAGATTTCTGCCTCTGGATGGAAATTCATATGCCATGAAAAGGACTTGTTGGATCACGGAAAATAAAGCAACTTGCTGGGCTAATTCATATTTCTGGAAGTGCATTGAAATCTCCTACTTATCAGATTACTAAACAAACCACTCCACAAGTCGTGAGCCTTACTCACATTTTATTTCCATACCCTGGTACCCAATAATATTCACACTATTAAACACTATTGACATTGAAGTCTGTGTCTGTAGATAGATATACATATCATGCAGTTACTGCTTCTTCACTTAAAAAGGTTTCGTACGTATCAAAAAATCACTAAACAATTATTTTCATTTGGGTATAGGTTGTCAACATTGTAACTGTTGTGTCAATCTTGTTTTCTTCTTCTAAGTTCTTCTGGTCACGTCACTTGGTTTATTTTTAAACTAAACCTTTTTATTAAAATCTTACTACAAGATAGCGTGTTATTACTTTTATAATATTCACTCCGTTTCATATTAAGTGTCGTTGGAAAGAATTTTTTTCATTACAAACTAAATATCGTTTTCGGTTTTGAATGCAAAATTTATTAGTTTTATTAACTAAATTATTTTTATATTAGTTAAAATGTGGTTATGTGTATATGTAATTGTGTTTTTATATAAAAAATATGTAAAATTGATTATTTCCTTAATCCGCATGTACAACTCTAAAATGACACTTATAATGAAAATAAGGAGTAGTTTATATGTTTCAATTAATTGGTAATCTCATATTTGAGAAACAGAATATACATTTTAACAAGAAATCAAAGTTTGACCACACTTCTTGGATTCTTTTTATTACTATTATTACATTTTGCTTTTATTTACCTGATTTGACTAGTTTATTTGAAATTTTTATCAGCCTAAACCACATTCCAGGGAATATGTATCTAGTGATTGCATTAAATGGCGAAGATCCCAAAATTTTTAAAAATAATTGCGTTATCCAATCATTTAAGAGCTCCGTATATGTAAAAACAATTCATGGTCAATTACGTATAAGAGTATCCACATCATTGAAGCGAGAAGGGGAATTCAAGTTTTATGTATTTTTTATCTTTTATTTTTATAAAAAAATAAATAAATGAATCAATTGTGGGCCGCTACGTGGCGTGGAATTCACGAAACAGTGATAACACGGAGTCACTGCACCGAACTTTTGCGAGACGAGTTCATGAAGGTATAATATTTATAATGTTTTGTTTTGGAATATGTGAAAACTTCTCATCTGAATCTTTGATGAAGATGGCCTAAGGAAACAAAACTTACTATTATAGTGGAACAGCTGTTTTTTTAGATAAAAAGGAATAATTACAGCAAACACAGAAGCATCCTGTCCTAATAATAATACCCAAACTTTGACAAAAAAAAAACAAACAAAGTAAAATTAAAGTTGGTAAAAAAAGAAAGGAAAACTCTTGAAGCTAGCACAAACGGCGTCGTCGCAGGGAGAATATACCGAAACAGAAAATGGAATATCTCATATTGAGTCGCTTATAAATGGCCGTGTCATAATGCTTGCACTCTGCCCTTGTTCATTGGTAGCTTCGACGCCCGTTTCACTTCATCTCCATCTCTCTCTCTACATCTTCCCAGATATACAGAGAATTTAAGAACCTCTCTGAGTCCCTCTCTCTCTAACACTCTTCTGGTATATATAATTCAAACACTTGAGCAGATACCAGATCCCACCCACGTAGAAAAAAGATTGTTGTACACTCATGTAAGTCTTTCTTTCTTTATGTTTCTGGTTGTTTATGTACAATTTGATGAATTTGGTTTTTATTTTCTTTTCTTGTATGGATGCAAAATGATGTTAGTTAGGAGTTAGGACGATATCGTTTTGGTTATATTTTTGTCCACTCTGCCTCTTCTATTTCGGTTTGGTCTTTGTCAGTAGTGATTTTGGTACAATCCGAGTGTCATTTGTTTGTGTCATTAATTAGGATAGTTTCTTGAAAATTATTTTCCGGACTTATCTCTGATGAACAGAAGATATTTTTATTGCATGGATCAAATTATTCACTAACAAATTAAAAACGAAAATAATGTTATATTATAAAAAAAATATAGTGTCTTGATGAATAAGTATGTCCGCAAATAAAGACAAGTCTCTATCTTACTCCCACATCATACATGTTTGTCTCATCGTGTTCAGATCCAGATGTCACAAGTCAACGTTTTGGGTAACTAGAATAAAGACAAAGTAGCAATCGTTGAAAATTCACATATAGATCCAAATATTGGTTACGTCGGAGTCAAGAAACCAACGTAATAGGAACCAAACAATCAATTATAAAAATGTTAAGAGTTGATAAATTAAGAATCAATTATTTGAATATACAAGTTACACTTTCTTTTCTTTGTTTTTCTTTATATATTTTAAAACTGCTTAAAAATCTTTATAGAAAATGAAAACTATTTTTACTAGTTACTTCTTTAGAACTTTTTAGCAAAATATAAACATCTAGTTCTTTTTTTTTTATAAACATCTAGTTCATTTTATTTTTTCCGACTTTATAAACATCTAGTTCAAACTACAAAAAGCCTTAAAACTGCTAGTTACATATACCTTACCTTTTTGAAAATCTTTACGTCAACATATTGTGATTTTTTAAAAATATTTTATTTGCAAAAAAAAAATATTGCGATATCAACGTTATGAAAAGAAAAATAAAGTTCTTTTCAAAAAAAAGCACACAATAAAGTTCATAGTATAAAACTCCCTCCCTCTGTTTCATAATATAATTAATTTTAGAAGATTATGTTGTTTCAAAATATAAATAGTTTTAACATTTTAATACATATTTTGTATTTATTCAATATTGTGTTAACAAATTATATATTAAATATTACTTCTTCTGTATTATAGTGTTACATGTTTGAAAAAGAAAAAAAATGTTTTAAAAGGATACATTTTTTTTTATATTTTCAATGCATGTTTTATCAATTAATAAGGATTAATTACAAGTTTTAAAAAAATGCATTTAGATTTTTTTAAAATTGCATTTATTTGATTCTTATTGGTTTAGAATTATAGGAAAAATTAATCACAAGATTATCTATTTATTATATGTTTTTTAATATATGTGAAATTTTTTAAAATATGTAACATATTGAAATAGAGGGAGTACCTTTTTTTTTCTAGAACATGAATCTATTTGAAACAGAGGAGTAAAATATATTGGTCAAGTGTTTTCTTTAATTTATAAAAACAATAATTTGTTTCTACATTCAGAACGGGTTCGAAATAGATCCCACATGTTTCGTTCCATATATATGATTCAAGTCGATCTTATAACGCCAAAAAATGTTACTAATATCGAGTTTTGGCTTATAAAATTACAGAGGTGAAGAAGAATGGCAAGGGATCAGTTACAAGTGTTGAATGCACTTGATGTAGCCAAAACGCAATGGTACCATTTTACAGCGATTATAATTGCTGGAATGGGATTCTTCACCGACGCTTACGATCTCTTCTGCATCTCTCTTGTCACAAAGCTCCTCGGCCGCATTTACTACCACGTACCAGGCTCCCCCAAGCCTGGAACTCTCCCTCCCAACGTTGCTGCTGCCGTCAACGGTGTTGCCTTCTGTGGAACCCTAGCTGGTCAACTCTTTTTCGGGTGGCTTGGTGATAAGCTCGGGAGGAAGAAAGTTTATGGTATGACGTTGATGGTCATGGTCATTTGCTCTATAGCCTCTGGTCTCTCTTTCGGACACGAGCCAAAAGCAGTGATGGCCACGCTCTGCTTCTTTAGGTTTTGGCTAGGGTTTGGTATTGGTGGTGACTACCCTTTGTCCGCAACGATCATGTCTGAATACGCTAACAAGAAGACACGTGGCGCGTTTATAGCTGCGGTGTTTGCTATGCAAGGGTTTGGGATCATGGCTGGTGGAATCTTCGCTATTATTATCTCCTCTGCTTTTGAAGCTAAGTTCCCTGCTCCGGCCTATGCGGATGATGCCTTGGGATCCACGGTATCTCAAGCAGATTTTGTATGGCGAATAATCTTGATGGTTGGGGCTATACCTGCCGCAATGACTTATTACTCAAGGTCGAAGATGCCAGAGACAGCAAGATACACAGCTTTGGTTGCTAAAGACGCGAAGCAAGCTGCTTCAGACATGTCTAGGGTTTTGCAAGTTGAGATTGAGGCAGAACAGCAGAAAGTGGAAGATATCTCAAAAGATAAGTCCAAAGCCTTTTCCTTGTTTTCCAAGGAATTCATGAAACGCCATGGACTTCATTTGCTAGGCACTACATCCACTTGGTTCCTTCTCGACATCGCTTTCTACAGTCAAAACCTATTTCAAAAAGATATTTTCAGTGCAATCGGGTGGATTCCTCCGGCTCAAACCATGAACGCGATTCAAGAAGTGTTCAAAATCGCGCGTGCCCAAACCCTAATTGCCTTGTGTAGCACGGTACCTGGTTACTGGTTCACAGTTGCCTTCATCGACGTCATTGGAAGATTTGCTATTCAGCTAATGGGATTCTTCTTCATGACGGTCTTTATGTTCGCTCTGGCTATTCCGTACAACCACTGGACTCACAAGGAGAACCGAATCGGATTCGTTGTCATGTACTCTTTAACCTTCTTTTTCGCCAACTTTGGACCTAATGCTACAACCTTCGTTGTACCTGCCGAGATCTTCCCAGCCCGGTTCAGATCCACATGCCATGGTATTTCTGCAGCATCAGGAAAATTAGGTGCGATGGTTGGTGCTTTCGGGTTCTTGTACTTGGCACAAAGTCCAGACAAGGCCAAGACAGACGCAGGATATCCTCCTGGGATTGGGGTCAGGAACTCGCTTATCGTGTTAGGTGTGGTTAACTTCTTGGGAATTCTCTTCACTTTCTTGGTGCCTGAATCTAAAGGGAAGTCACTTGAGGAAATGTCCGGTGAAAATGAAGAGAATGAGAACAGCAACAGCGATAGTAGGACGGTCCCAATAGTTTAGATGGTATTACACCTTTTGTTAAAGTTATCTTCTTGTCTTTAGTAACTCAAGTTGTTTGTTGTGTCATATGTTGATGTCATGTCTAAATGGTTAATAATTTTTAACATTTCTGTTGGATTTTAAAGGAAATATATGCTGAAAAATCAAAGAGTAAACTGAAAGAAAATTGGTTGACTTTAATTGCCATCATTTCCTTATGTAAAATATGCTAGATTAATATCTTTGTTTTAAGTTAGACTAGATTTCTCACGCTTTTCAAGAGCAGAATATTTTTTTATGAAAATTTTATATGATCGCATTTTGTCTATATTTAAATTAAGTTTAAGTATAAAATTTGTAATCCAAAGTCTGAATTGAACCCAAACTAACAATTCTATCTCTACTCGGTCCGAAATGCAATAAATTGAAACTCTTATGGTGGTACAAAATATATCCACACCCGAAATGTTATTAGCCAAATTTGAACGGATAACACAAAAAAATTGAAAATCTGGAAAATTTAAAACCGATCCGAATGTCCAAATTAATCATAAGTATAAATATTTGAAACATAAATATGTACTTCAAATATTTAGTTATATATTTATTTTGTAATGGTATCTAGAATACGTATTTAAATTTAAATTAAAATGGTTTAAATATCCAATTCTATATAAATAAGTATATACTTCTTATGTTTTGCTTTTAAATTTGGAATTTAATTTCGGATATATCTGAACCAAACTAATATAATAAAAATTCAAACGATATATGGTTATTTTATAGATTTTAGGATGTGATAGAAATTAGAATCAGAACCGATTTGTTATATTCTAACATGATCCATACTTATAATATTAAATATTAAATAAATATTTATTATAAATATGGCGTACAACCGTCTCATACTTGATAAATATTTACATTTTTATGAAATAAGTTGCAAAAACCTGTAACTGTAAATCATAATATATTAATTTAATATACTATATAATCAAATAACATTAATGTACACTAAATTTAATATTTAATTTAAAATTAAAATATACTAAATTATATGTTAATATCATAATTTAGCTATTATGTTAAACATAAAAATATTTATATATCTAAATATTTTATTTAATATTTTCCATAAATAAACTGATATATGTTGTAAACTGTATAAATATATGTTATCATGCATATTTAATTATTTTAATTTTAGTTTTAATTAAATTATGTTATATATATTTCTTATTGTAATAATTTAATTATGTATGAATTATGTATATATAAACATTATAAATATGGTATTTTTATTTTATAAATTAAAATGAATTAATATTTATTTGTAATAAAAAATTAAAATAATTACAAATTTAAATTATTAAAATATATATTAAAACAATTATTAAACAATAAATATTTATATTTCCAATTAAAAGATTTTTTCAAGTAGAAAAGATGTTTGGTAATATTTTTTGATATCTTATTTTGAAAATAATTAAATAATATATTTAGATTATGTATATTTAATAATAATTAAGTTTGTAAAGTATTAAAAATTACATAAATTAATGGACCAACCCAAACTATTTATAGGTAGATAAAAAATAGGACTCTGTTTAAATAGATTAGATGAGAATTAAATATTTATATATATTGTTTCGTCTTCTTTTCAAGTAACGCCATATTGCTATATGATTGGATGATTTCACCCATGTAACAGACTCAGATTTCATTCCACATCAGAAAACGCTTCCAAGAACTACAAATCCACCTTCCCTTTGCTCTCCAGAGGAAATGAATATATTTCTCATTAACTCGAATTGACTGTACAATCATAGTAAGCATACTGCATAAGTGTACATGTATCATGATCTAATACAAAATGACAGTTAGAAATGTCGCCGTGGTGTTTTCCAAAAATTTCCACTTTAATTTCCAAGATTCATCTGAAGAAAAAATGTCAGTTAAATATTGTTTAAGCCAAAGTATGTTAGAGATGAATCATAAAAATTTTAAATGATCTAATTTGGTATTTAATGAAAGATTTCTTTGTATATTAAGAAATCTTTCATTTCGACCAGAAATCTTCGTATCATCTTTTTAAATATATTCATTTCCCAAAACAAAAATTCATTTCTATTTGTATTCTTTGCAGAATTATATATATATATAATTTTCAGAAATTACCTTCTATTTGTATACGATTTAATAACTATAATATATTGCTAACCTTAAATGTGGGACGTCCACAGTCTCTATAAATTGGCACATTTTGTCTTTCAGTTGCATATACATTAGCTTTAGAAAAAAAAAATACTACAGAAACATGAGTCGTCTCTGGTCTTTTTTGCTTACCATTACATTGTGCGTTGGGTTGAATAATGCGGGAGTGTTGGAGAAAAACTCTGTACATTTCAAAAACTCTCTTGGTCCAAACAATATTCTCAGGGTTAACTGTAATTCGAAGGACGACGTTCTAGGCATCCACGATTTGAAACCTGGACAAACCTACGATTTTAGTTTTAATGACAGTGTTTTTAAGACCATATTCGATTGTACCTTAGCGCAGGGACGTGGGTTCATTCATCACGCAACCTTTAGGGCATATGAAGGTGGTGGTCTCATAGTTCATTATGGTAAGGAGAACTTTTGGGATGCTAGAGAAGATGGAATTTACTTTACACATGGTAAAGAAACTCCCAAGTTACAGTATAAGTGGTTATAAAATGTCATGTAAAATCCCTCAAATGAAGTGGAATTTAAAATTTGTTTTTGTTTAACGGCAATATCTCATCTCTCTTGTTCTTGTAAGAACATATCTAATAAAATTTATATTGCAATCGCATCTGTGACCATGAAAATTTTGTTTGTTAAGAACAAAAACAATGTTAAGGGCTTTTTGATACATGGAAACATGGGTGCTTTTTTTTCTTTGTTATATCATTACATTGTGCATTGGGTTGAATAATTTAAAAGAAAAAACTCTGTACATTTTAAAAAGCGTATTAATAACTTTTTTAAAAAACGTATTTTTCCTGGAAAGTACTATAGACAGCTGAGTGCAAGACTTACAAAGTTAAGACCACAATCACCCACTAAACATATTTACATAAGCAATTGATTTTCTTTTCTTTTTATTTACAGGAATTGTTCAAGGGCTTGAGCATTGTTGTTGTTCAAAAGCTTCATCATGAAGTTAAACCTTGTGTCTGGAGCTGTCTTTGGCTGTGGCCAACTCGCTCCTTCAGGGATCTTAATGCTTCTGTAACCTTGATCTTTGTAAAGTTTTGTGGCTCCTAAGTTGTTGAGTTCACAGTGAAGTCCAACAGCTCTACATCCCCAGCTTTTAGCTAAAGCCTCTGCTTTCCATATCAGCCTCTTTGCTATTCCCTTGCGCCTGAAACTCTCTCTAACCGCCACATTCGATATGTAAGCAATCCCTGTCCTGAAAAAAAAAAAAAAAAAAAAGACAAGTTTTCAATGGTCCTTAGTCTCAAGAAGAGAGATAAAGAAGCAAACCTTCTTTGGCGGAGAGGACCTTTCCTTGGAAGGTAATCAGCGACGGTATCAACAGTCAAGATCCCAGCTACATAGCCTTTGTTAAGACTAATCTTTGCATCAAAAGCACCAATCTTGAAATCTTGGCTTCCAATGCAGATGGGTTCATCAACAGAGCTACCTATCACAGCGACTAAACAGATCCTCTGGCACCCTGGCGGCACAGAGAACCCCATTATCATCGCCATCAGCCTATCAACTCTGAGGACGAGATCAAGAGGGAATGAGTATCCAGGGAAGAAGGAGCTGCAGTGAGTCTCTGCCACTTCCCAGCAATCCTCCAACCTCGCTTCTCGTACAACGATCTCAGGTGAAACCGCTGGGAAAAGATCGGCTATTTGACTTGCCTTGCATACTCCTAGATACAAAGAGAACAACTTTTTCATCCATTTATGTGAATCAAAACCTAATATACAAACATAACCATAAAGTAAACAACTTTATCATCCAGTGATGAACCAAAGACATGTTGTCTCTCATCAAAACTCAAATCTAATATAAAAAAAAACCACACAAACATATCCATAAAGAAAACAACTTTATCATCCACTCATGAAACAGAGCATGTCTACTCTCTAAAAAAAACTCAACCCTAATATAAAAAACCACACAAAGTAAACAACTTTATTATCCAGTGATGAACCAAAAACATGTTGTCTCTCATCAAAACTGAAGCTTGTACTCCTATACATAACCATAAAGAGAACAACTTTATCATCCATTGATGAAGCAAAACATGTTTCATAGTCTCTAATCAAAAGCCCAAGTAACAGCAAAAACCCCTCTAATTGAATTGCATTGCATTGCATACTCCTATATACTAAACACACAGTAAAGGTAACAACTTTATCATCCATTCAAGCATGAACCCATCACAAAGAAAGTTGTCTACTTTAAGAACTGAATCAAATCTCTATCTATTATAAGCTAATCAAAAACCTGATTTTGAAGACGGAGTATGAGAAACTGAAACCGACGGGGAGAGGAGGAAGAGAGACGACGAGTGGCTTCTCGGACGATGATGGATAGAGATTCCTGAGGAGGAGAAGCGGTTGTAAGAGTTGATCAAAGGTGATGGAGATAGCTCCGTCGTCGCCAACGCTGTGCTCCGCATTTTTTTTCTCCAGCTGGGAGAATCTATCTCTCTTCACCAACCCACGACTTGGCAATGTTAACCGGACGGTTCAACCGGTTTAAATCGTCACTTAGGAAAAAATATAGTCTAAAATCCTAGTCAACCGGTTATTATTTATCCGGTTATCTCTCTCTCTTCCACCAATTCACACGTTTCCCCTTCACTCGACAATTTTTTAATTTAGTACTAAATAGATACATTTTATAAGAAAAAATTGTTTCAAAAAAAAAATAAATATATATATATATATATATTATTTTTCCTAATGCATTTTTTATCAATTAATAATACAAAATTGTAAATTTTTAAAATTTTAATTATATTTTTTTTTCAAGTTTTATTGGTATAGAAATATAAAATTATAAAAAACTATGCATTGATAACGAAGTTTTAGTATGTTTTTTTAATAAATGTAAACTTTTAAAAACATACTATTGTCAACACATCTCATTTCACCCATCAAGATATCTTTATACCACCCGCAATTATCATACTACCATCATCAAACACGACGCGGTGATATTTAAGGTCTGACTGGTTACAACGCAACGATTGTGGTTGCGGGCGTTTGCAGATGCGGGAGATTGCGGATTTTAAATGTTAGTAAATTATTTATACGACTGGTTCAATGGTTAAAAATTGTTGCGGCTTAAAACGGTTTATAGCGTTTTCTGTGATTGTTACAAAACGCTAACAATCGCTACCAACCGCAAAAACTACGTTTGCGTATGATGGCGGGAGAACCAGTCAGGCTCTTAGAAGTCTTTAAGTAACTAATTTCTGATATTTTTGTATATAATATTGTCAAAAGAAAATGTAAATGGAGAAAATTATAAGTAGAACTGAAGGGGGTTTCAAGACAATTGTTACCAACAAGCTGATAAAATATAAATTTTGTAAGTTTTAGCCTTGAAAAGAAAACTTCTCAAACATTATACCCATGTTTTCTACGCCGGTTCTGACCATCATCAAACAAACTACCACCACATGTTCATCTAGAAAATTTTATCATCATCATCAGAGGCGGATGCACGTAGGGTTTTTAGGTGTGGCATGTGCCCGCATTATTATTTTTTTTGTTTTTCTTTCAGTAACTGATATATAATTTATGTAAATATTCCTAATTTATATATTTCTGTAATGCATGTTCTATAGTAAATAAGTTGTTGGATCCGCCTCTGATCATTCATTGTATAATAAATATATTATCACTGAAATACCATCATCAAACTACTACCACCATCATCTTATTCATAATACACCACCACCATGTTATTATATCATAATCTTCATTTTCAGAAGTCTATTTTTATATTCAAAATATTCAACGAGTTTTCATATAAGCTATTTTTATACAAAGAGCCCTTCTTTGGATATGCTTAGTTTCTTGAGTGTAACAGAGCGCCCTTAATTCTATGCTTGGAGATTGTGGAGAGAGCATGCGATTGAGTAACACAAATTATGCACTTCCGTGTACTAGCTAAAGCTTTACGTCTATCGACATACAACACAATAACTCCTCGCGCAAGGTAAAGACGCCTAGTATGTTGGAAAAGAAAACATAGTGTACCTTAAACTATCTCTTAATAATAAAATTAATTATAGCGCCAGAGTTAGTTATATCCAGAAACTTGGATGAAGCTTTGCCATCATCAAATATATTCATCTCCAAGCTCCTTTTTTGTCTTGACCGATTCCATCTCATCTGATCTGGCAAAGAAAGAAAACAATACATTAATAGCTATTGCAAACCTCCCCTAAATAATAATACCCTACAAGCAGTGTTGGAAGCAAGAAGAAGAAGACTCATGAAGAGAGAGAGCATCAAAAAGCTTAGAGAAATTACGAGCATTTCCGGAGCAAAGGGATCCTCTTCCCGCTCGCTCTTCATTAGAGCATTAATATCGCTAACAAAGGTTGCTTATTTTTATTTTTTTATTTTTTCGTTTTATTGAATTTATAAAAAATAAATTAAAACGAACCAATCACAGACTGCCACATGTCAGTGAGGCTCGCGTTTTGGCCAAACAACAGTGCTTATTGTAGCGATAGAAGCGGCATGGTTACTAATTTTGCTAGGACCCAACATTTTTTATTGCTTTTTTTTGGTTGAAACCGAGGGTAACAACCCTGGTTAATGCTGGTCTTATTGTTTTGTAAACGAGCAATCTTGTTGTTAAACCGAACCAAAAATCTAACTGAATCCAAATCGGTTCACTAGAATCCAACCGGGTCGAATTTACAAAAAAAAGTCCAAAAGCTCTTCACTTTGTAAACGAATAAGAATCTTATCGTCAAACCGAACCGGAATCAACCGGTTATCAAACTGAATCCAACACAATCCCTTAGAGCCGTCTTCACCAATCACCGGAGCCAAAAAAAAAGAGAAACTCACCGGTGGTCATGCAAAATCCACCGACCTCAGCTTCATCTTCGATCGGGAAAAGACACTACTCTCTTCCTGACAACTTCCCGGAAAGAGCCATCCTCGCCGCCGTAAAAGGCCAATCATGTCCGATATGCCTGGAAAACCTCCTAACCCACCGTCGACGCGCCGCCGTGATCTCGTCGTGCAACCACGGATACTGCCTCCCTTGCATCCGTAAATGGAGCCAAGTCAAGCGAAGCTGCCCTCTCTGCAACGCTGATTTCGACTCCTTGCTCATCCTTAACGCTTCTTCTAGAAGATTCCGCAAGCTCCACTTACCCCTTCTCCCTGAACACCACACTTCAACTTATAACCAACCTTCCCTTCCCCGCCCCCGCAGGTTTAGTCTTCTGCCAATTATTAAAAGTTTGCATCTTTTTTTTCTTTGTTTGTTTGGTTTGCATCTTTTTTTTTCTTTGTTTGTTTGGTGAGATTAAAAGTTTGCATCTTTTTTGTTTGTTTGGTGAGATTAAAAGTTTGAATCTTTTTTTTGTTTTTTAATTTAATTAGGGTAAATTCAAGCTCTTCTAGCTGGAGAAGGTCAAGGGCGTTACCGTGGAGGAGATCTTTTGGGCGGCGAGGTTGTGTTCCTGATCATGTCATCTTCGAGAGGAAGCTTCTGTGGCGAGCTAGGTTGGTGTTTGATGTTGTTACCGTTAGTGTTTTTTTTTTGCCGAGTTACTAAGTATAGTGTTTTGCTCTTATGCAGCATATACGATAGACAATTACGAGCTTATTGCTGGTAAGTTTCTTCTATGTTTTTAATCTACTAAATGAGTTTGCATTCTTGGTAATTTTGTATATTTTTATATATATATCCACACTGGTAAGTTTTTGATGTTTGTGATCTACTTTATATATCCACACTGGTAAGTTTTTGATGTTTGTGATCTACACTCGTGGTTTGTAGAATATATATTCACACTGGAAGCCTGAGACTGCTTCGTGTGTCATTTTTGAAATGTGCAGCAGGTGAATGAACACACTAAAGTGAGGATAATTGAAAGAATTGAACCATGGATGAGAAGAGAGTTTCAGGCAGTGCTTGGAGATCCTGATCCTTCAATCATTCTTCATTTTGCATCTGCTCTTTTCATTAAAAGGCTTGAGAGAGAGAATACTCCACAATCAGGGCACGGAGGAGGAGGAGGGATAGTAGTGGAAGAAGACCAAGTCTCCTCCTCTCTTGGTATATTCTTGGGTGATGAGGAGGATATCTTTTGGCATGAACTTAGGTAAGGATCAATTGATTACGGATTGAGTTGTTGTATAGTAAACGGAAACACTTTGGCTAAATACTAAAGTAGAGCAAACTACAAGGGCAATCAATGGCTTGTCAGTATAACCGGCGTTTGTTTGATTATAGAATCTTGATATTTTTTCCAGATGTTTCGCGGAGAGTAGCCTCACGATGGAAACATACGATGCAGTAGTTGAATACAACGAGGTGGAGTAATGATGGCGGCAGTAAAAAGAGGTAAAATATGCATTGTTTTGGATGTTAACCGAATCTGTATTGAAAACCAGTTTCACTATATTCTCTGGCTCACTGTAGAAATTGGTTTTGAGATTTCAATATCATGTATTTGCTTGCAGATAAACGGAGGATTACACTCTTGCTTTATGAAGTAGAAAATCTTACGGTGACACTGTTGGTGTCTTGGGAAATAGAGTTCCTGCAAGTAGTGGAGAAAGTGAAAGACAAATGTAAGGTCACCAAGAGCTATAGAGTAGGTAGGAAGTAAGATGTTGAGATGATGTAAGTTTAGGTTAGTGGTCTCTTCTTTTTAGCTGTTGGGTGGATTGTCAAATAGATTAGTGACACTTAGTGGTATGAAAACTTTAGTTCAATGTTATGTCTCTTCTCTGCTATGCCAACTTCCTCACACCTCATCAATGTTTCTTTTTTGCTTTGGAGGACCACCTCCTTGTTCAACTACATTAATTAAAAAAAGGTAACTATTTTGAGTCGTTTCATCAACAATTGTTTTATACAAATGATGTCATTGTCTCATTCAGATATGGTATGACTTGTAGTTTAGAACTATAACGCATGTACGTTACTAGAAGAAAACGGATATATATTCATTTAAGTTTTTATATTTAAACCCTTTACCTAAAACGGCTACGACTAGAGATTTTTACACGGTGAAATGAATAAATAACAAAAACGTATATCAAGAAAAATAAGAAGATTAAGGTATTTGATACAAAAATAAATAACAAAAACGTCGAAGGGTTGGTAAGCGGCAAATCCAGCTGCCAATGCCTATTTGACTTGCTCATTATTAGATCATGGTGAGCTCGTCTTCCTCTCCCTTTAAAGATCTCTCAATCATGAACATGAAGATCTCTATCACAACATTCCATTCCTCCTCATGAATACTTCTACATCAGGTTTCTTTCTCAACCCGTTTACCACATTTCTGCTTTGCTTCTTTGGTTATTTTTATCGAATGGTTACTCAGTGGTTTGGTTTATGTGTTGGAACAGAAGAACTTGACTTTTCTTGATTTGCAATTCTTTCATTGTGGACTTGGTTTGTGTTTCTTTTATCTCATTACAGTGAAGCGATTGGTTTCCTCAAAGACAATGAAATGTTTCTACTTCAACAAAGACAAAACTCATGATGAAGTCAAGACAAGAAAGTCTGATTCTTCTTCTTCTACTTCCACTTCCATTGCCGGAGGAGGAGGATCAGGAAGAGGGTCTGAGTTTAACTCACAAACAAGTACCACTACTAACACTTCCTTACACGTCCTCTCTGAGACACACAGTAACAACCTCAAAGTCTTTCCCCTCGACGACCTCAAAACCGCTACCAACAACTTCAGCAGGTCCTTGATGATCGGTGAAGGCGGTTTCGGTGGTGTGTTTCGAGGCATCATCCAAAGCCCTGAAGATTCTCGTAAAAAGATTGAAATCGCAGTGAAACAGCTCAGCAGGAGAGGCTTACAGGGGCATAAAGAGTGGGTGACAGAGGTTAACGTGTTGGGAGTAGTGGACCATCCGAATCTTGTGAAGCTCATCGGTTACTGCGCTGAAGATGATGAGAGAGGGATCCAACGGCTACTAGTTTATGAATATGTACAAAACAGAAGCGTTCAAGACCATTTATCTAATCGTTTTATACTCACTCCTCTCCCTTGGTCTACGAGAATGAAGATTGCTCAAGACACTGCTCGTGGACTCGCTTATCTTCATCACGGCTTGGAGTTTCAGGTCTCTCTCAAACACATTCTCTTTTAAAAACCTTTCTTTTTGTATTATAAGCTATATATATTATTCATCTTGTAATGCAGATCATTTTTAGAGATTTCAAATCTTCAAACATTCTTCTTGATGAGAATTGGAATGCAAAGCTCTCTGACTTTGGACTTGCTCGGATGGGACCTTCTGATGGAATCAGTCATGTCTCAACCGCGGTAAGAAAACCCTGACATGTTTGTTTGCGTCTATATTTTAATATATCTAAATATACTTTTTTAACATAGTTACTTAATTTTGTATATTTGCGGATCTTAACTTGGATTTTGGTTTGGTTCGGGTGTTCGGTTTGGGTTGTTCCCGCCCAAAAAATACATAGTTTTAGAATCTATTTCTTATTTAACGGTTCGGATCAGATTTTGATTTTCCGATTCGGGTTAAGGTCGGGATTTTGGGTTTGGGGTAAAAATGCCTAATACAAAGCATCTGATTGTTCAGGTTGTAGGGACCATTGGTTATGCAGCTCCGGAGTACATCCAAACAGGACACCTCACGGCCAAGAGCGACGTGTGGAGCTACGGAATCTTCCTATACGAGCTCATCACAGGGAGACGGCCGTTCGACAGAAACAGGCCAAGAAACGAGCAGAACATCTTGGAGTGGATCAGACCACACTTGACTGACATCAACAAGTTCAAGATGATCATTGACCCAAGGCTTGAAGGAAACTACTACCTCAAATCTGCTTTGAAGCTAGCTGCGGTTGCGAACCGGTGTTTGATGGTGAAGGCCAAGTCTAGGCCAACGATGAGTGAGGTTGTAGAGATGTTAGAGAGGATAGTGGAGACATCGGAGGAGGTTTCTATTGATGTGCCGTTGATGAAGAGCTTGGCGCCTAAAGATGCGTTTGAGGCGACAAGGAGAGAGAGGGTTAAGAGAAGATTTGTTGAAGTTTTAATTGGGGTTAGTGGTTGTCCTAATCTGCCTACTTGGTCTCCTAAACTAGTTACTTCTCTTTGATTCTCGAGAGAGGATAAACAAACAACTAAAGAGTTTGTGTTATGCCAAAAAATTTTTTACTACACTGCCATTATAACATTTTCAGTAGAGATGCGTTTGTACACGAGATCCGGATCAAAATAATCTGAATCTGTAATCTAATACAAGTTATTAAGAAACTGGAATGAATTTTGAAAATGGTTTCTTTTCTAGTTTTACTACGAGTTATCTGAAAAGAAAGAAAAAAAGCAGATATGAATTATTATTAGAAAAACTTTTCAAAATCTTAAAAAGTAGTTTTGTAGATTCGTTCTTTTTTTTTAAATCGGAGTTTTAGATTTTTACCATTTGTAATATTCAATAACACCTGAAGATATCAATTAATATTAAAAATAAATTTTCAGAAATTAAATAAATAGTTCAAATACTTATTTTATGTTTATTTTGATTTAACCCATAAAATAACAAAATCAAAAGTCTTACTTAACCAAACCTCGAATTTGCATAAAATATTTTCTTTAAACATTTATAAATTCGATTCAAATGTCTTAAAACCCGACTGAGATTACAAAATTAAATCCCAAAACCCCCCAAAACAAAAAAAAGGTAAATAGTTAGGGTTTATTAATTATTACAATAACTCATTTCATTACAACAACGGTTTAAGTGGGTTTAACACATTGTACAAGCCACCTCCTTACACGATGCTCTTCCTCAGCCGCCGTGCCCAAACTCTCAAAACCCTACCTTCCTCCTCCTCCTCCACACAGACCCGTACCTACGTCGATGTCTACATGAAATGGAAGAAAGATCATTACTTTGACAACATCGAACACATCCTCCGTTCCCCTCAGCTCAAATCCGTCATCGCTCTCAAGAACTGTATCACCAACGACCCCAACAACTCCATCCCAATCTCCTCCATCTCCAAGAAGACTCACCAATTCGACCTATCATCCAAAGTCACAAAGTTCTTACGGCAGTTTCCTTCAATCTTCGAGGAGTTCGTTGGCCCAGAGCACAACCTCCCCTGGTTTAGGTTGACGCCAGAAGCCGCAGAGCTCGATAGGGTTGAGAGGCGTGTTTATCAAGACTCGGCTGATGATTTGAATGGTCGGTTGAGGAAGTTGATTCTGATGAGTAAAGATAATGTCTTGCCCTTGAGTATTGTTCAAGGGATGAAATGGTATCTTGGTTTGAGTGATGATTACTTGATGAGTCTTGATTCTTCGTTCAGGTTTGTTGATTTGGAAGATGGTGTAAAGGGTTTATCTGTGGTGTGTAGTGATGGAGAAAAGGTTCTGTCTTTCTTACAGAGGAACACGATCAAGAACAGAGGAGTGCTCTGTTCTGAAACAGAGTTTCCTCTGTTTCCATCGAAAGGTTGTAGATTGAGAGTCAAAATCGAAGACTGGTTAAAGGGGTTTCAACGGCTTCCTTACGTATCACCGTACGATGATTACTCTCGTTTGGATCCGAGCAGTGATGTAGCTGAGAAGAGAGTTGTTGGGTTTCTTCATGAACTGCTCTGCCTCTTTGTGGATCATTCAGCTGAGAGGAAGAAGCTTTTGTGCCTCAAGAAGTGGTTTGGGTTGCCTCAGAAGGTTCACAAGGCCTTTGAGAGGCATCCGCACATCTTTTACTTGTCTATGAAGAACAAGACTTGTACAGCTATTCTTAGAGAGCCTTATAGAGATAAAGATAGTGTGGAGCCACATCCTGTGTTGGCTGTGAGGAAGAAGTATATTCAGTTGATGAAGAGTTCGGAGTTGATTCTCAAGAGTAGAAGGACTAGTTGCAGGTTTTCAAATGATGGTATTGTAGAGAAAGATTTGGATTTGGATTTTGATGGCTAAGCAAAAAAAAAAGATTGTACAAATAGAAACCTCTTCAATATGTTCCTTTAATTTTGAAGTGGCCAATCTTTTATTAATCAAATACATCATTAATGTATTTGTTTCAAACCAAATTCTAAAGATGTGTATGCAAGAATGAGTTTTGCTATATGAAAACAAAAGAAACACAAAAATGGGTATAAGAGTTTGTAATTAGAGACTATGTTCAGCTGCTTAGTTTCTCAATGATCTTAGAGAGAGCTGAATACGAGCCAACAACAGAAGATATTGCTCCTACTACGATGATTAAGACACACAACATCATCTACAAAACAAACCAAAACATTGTCAATGTATATCCTAAGATAATGTGTTTATGGTAAAGCTGGTATAAATACAGAATTGCTAAGAACATTTACCTGTGTCCTCGTAACTTTTCTCCGTACTATGCTCAAGAAACAAGCCGGTGGAAGTATTAGTGTCTGCACAAAACATTATATATATATACAAAACTTAAGATCCTTCACTTGCAGATAGACCAGTAAAGAAGGAAAAGAGAGCTTACGACAAGCATTGTCAACAAAGATCCAATCAATGACATGACAAGACCTGCAAGATGTTTTAAGTGTTCACTAAACATGATTCTAAAGAAAATGAGCATTACATTCTAAAATGGTAGAGAGGATCTAACCAAAGAAGGGAATTGCAAGACCAACAAGCAGAGTAGAGAAGACCAATGCGGTTCTAATGCCAATGGCGTACCAATGTGACTTGTTATGCCTTGATGGTATCAATTCCTCAAGACTCAGCGCTACTGGAGATAAGGTTAAAGCATATGTGCTTTCTTTTGTTAAGGAGACACATAAAAATGATGAATCTTACAAGTTAAAACGTTAGAAGAATGAGTCGTTTTCTTGTCAAAGGATATTTGGTAAATGGATTGACCACCTGCAGAACAGTTAAAACAAAACAGTTTTAGCTCTCATGTGATCATAACCAACATAGATTAATTAGTGTGCAAAGAAAATGTATGTGATCTACTTACAGTAGTCCACACAGCTATCTTAGTTGCAACCAAATCTTGAGGCAAGTTAAGAGTAAACTGTGATTCTGTTGCTTCTCCAAACATTGTATAACCCATAATAGCAACACCAGCATACATCAGAGTACAAATAGTAAAGCTGCGAAACAATTATCAAGCATTGTGGTATCAAAAGTGTTGACAACTTATTAAAAGTGTCATAAGCTTACCATGTCAAGAGAGCAGAAGGGTATTGATTTGGATTGGCCATAGAAGTATAAATATTGGGGAAAACAGCATGTCCTGAATAGCAGTAACCGTATAGCCCTATAGCTACAGGTAAAGTTGACAAGTTCAGTGTAGTTCCTTTGCTGTGGATTCCAACTTCATCTACCAAACCAATCCAAAACAAACTTAAAACCACTAGCACCGATGCAATCACCCCTCCAGCTGACAAAATTTTAACAAAAAAAATCATTATGTCAGAAACATTATAAGTTTTTCCTAAAGTTAGAGAATAAGAAAACAAACTTCCACCTGAGATATAACTCAACAGGCTGAGATCTCTGAGCCAAACGGTGGGGAGAACAGCTATGGTGGTTAGCAATGCAAATAGATGCCGTGCATTTAACTCAAATCCTCCAATACTTAAACCAGCATTTGGATATAATGAAGACAAGTTATCACTCTCCAATATTATATATTCCACACAGCACGCCTGCAATTAAAAAAAATACAATTGTATATTCCACACAGAACAGCAAGAGTGTAACTCTGCAGATTTTCAAGGTTGAAGTAAGAACTGAGTTTTATGATACCACATTTTACCTTTTATGGTGCTACAAGGAATCTATAAGCAGTTCCAAGAGCAGAACTAGTTTACTACTAAACTGAACTGTCAGAAAATTTACTATAGAACTAATCATTTCACACTAGTAGTTTTGGGACCATTCAATCTAAAATATAAATATATTTGCTGCTTTAGTGACGTCAAAAGATGCTTTAAAAAGGAACAAATAGAAACAAAGAGAAAAGTTTAAAAAGTCTCAGGTTGTGCCAAATCCATGGGGCCCTGTGCTAACGTGTTTCACAACATGGGGTCATGGATTCTACATACCTAGACACCACTTGGAATCTCTTTGATTGTGTAGGTTTCTTGACAACAACTAGTCATGTGATTTTATTCATAAAGTATAATTTATAGTCATTTGCTGGAGAAATGAAAGTACTTACATATAGCTCCAAGTAGAGTACAATCTGCAATACATTAAACAAGAAAAAAATTAATATAAAAATGAGAATAAATGATACCAAGCTCCACTATTAAAGTGGTAAGCTACCTAACATATAATCTCAACTTTGCTAAACTGTAGTTTAGTCTTCATTAAAAAGAAGAGTAGTGTTCTCTACTAAAGCACATAGTTTTTTATTTTATTGCTATATATTTTGATGTAACATGTTAGAGACTCATATATACCGAGACAAAGATACGACCAGTGGTACCAAACGCAGCTTGGCCAATATCAGGATAAGTCTCGAGGTCAGCCTCACTATCAAGGCAGTAACGCAGGAGGATTCCAGTGTAGAAAGAAAGAAGACCATATATAAACAGTATCCCTAATCCTAACCATCCTCCTTCCTTAGCAGCATAAGGCGTTGAAAGTATCCCAACTCCACATAGAACGTTCAATCCTGCACATGTTACACAGGATGATGTCATGATCAGTATACTAACAATCATGCATGTTCTTTGAACCTAGACATTTTTGGTCTAAACAGTTTTGTTCATGTGCTTCCATGCATGTGCTGTATATAGGACAATAGAGTTGACTGTTGCTTTGTACTTTTCTCTCACTTTATAAAGACAAGGGTCTTCAAACTGAAGAAGACTGTCTTAAGGCTATACACACACAGTATATATGAAAGAATCTAACAAAGTATATCCGAATATATATTTTCATATTAACACACCCTAGCTAGCAGAGGCAGAGATGAAACATTTGCATATGACCCCTAAAAATTATTGGTTAATATATATATCACCCCACTCCCAAATGATTAAGAAATATATATATATATATATATATATATATATATATATATATATTGTTTAGTAATTGTGTTGAAAAGCCATGAATCTCAAGGCATTGTGTTTGGTAAAAAAAAAAGAAGTCACCATTCATGACAGCTTGTCCGTATGAACTGTTGCGGGACATTGGAACTTCATGAGACACTCTCTCGTCCTTTCGCATAGAACTTCTCCTGGAAGGAACAGGAGGGAGCAAGCCATGAGAGCTAAGTCTGCGTTTAGGTGGTGGTGGTTCTTGTTCTTCTGCTTCGAGCAGAGGCTTTGTAACAGTAGGTAAAGATTCAGGAGTGTGTCTTCTTATCAGCGAAGAAGACAAGAAAGAGCTTCCAAATCTCGTCATCGAGTTGTTTCCAAGAAAACCGATACTCGGAGACGGTACACTACTGTAGAGATCAATCGATTGCCTAATAAAACATTACCAAGAAGATCAAAAATAAATAATGCATATTAATAAAACCCTTTTGGTTACAAATTAAATAAATCAAGAATCTGCATGTTAGTTAGGATAGAGATAGACCTGTAACTCTGTGGCCAAGCCGTAGTGTATGAGTTAGGCTTATACTGCGTGTGATGTTCATCATCAGAGGAATCAGAATGGCTATGCCCATCTTCTTCTTCTTCTTCTTCTACGTAATCTTTCCTGTCATCTTCATCCTCGCTCTCAATGTAAAAGCTCTGATCAGAAGGTACGTGATTCATTTTTTTTCCTAATGAAATCTGAGAAAAACAAAAAAACATAACAAGAAATGAGATCAACTTCTAGGGTCAAAAATCTTTGTTCTATGTTGGAACATAATCTCTTCACCTTGTAATAAAAATCATAAAAGTGGCAATTGGTGTTACCTCAAGTTGTTGCCTTGGATCCAAATGAAAATGAGCTTCAAGATCAGAAGAGAGTCATGGGAGAGAGAGAGAGAGAGAACGAGAGAGATGTGGAGGATATAGAGGAGAGTGGAAGGAGGGAGACAGAGCGGCTTTTTCTCCTCTGTATACCTTTTCAATTTACAACTTGCTTTGAATTATTTAAATTTTTTTTGTATATGGTAACTTTTTTTTTAAAATTACTATACATTTTTTGCAAACTTAAATTTAATTACTATATTTGGCATGTGTTCTACTCTATTGGTTCGTATTACTATGGTATCATAACTTGGTTGAGGTTAAGCACCATAGTTAAATTTTTATTTTCTTTTTTACATATTTTAAAATTTTGAGTCGATACCAATTTTTAATTCTGTAAGTTGATTATATCTCGTCTTTACTTTTTGACAAGAATATGTCATTAATTTACGCAAATATAAAAAAAAAATTATGGCTCATTAGCAGGATCAAAGGGTCGTTTTTTGGCATTTCAAATTTATGATTTTCTTTATTTTTGGTAGGCAACCATATCTTCTTGCTTACCGTTACCAAGATAATTTTAAATTATAAATGCAATATCTCAGCTCTGAGTCGGATACTGGACATGTTTTTAAATTTAAAACAAACAAAATACGGATCTGTTTATCTATTTCCGGAAGGAAAACTAACCAAAAATATTTTATTTTTAACCAACCAAAAATAATTTACAGAAGCATAGGAATATGAGTGATTGAGATCTTTTATTTTTGTGGTCGTTGGAGAACTTTGGAAGTGAAAAAGAGCAAATATTTGCATGAAATTTCTTTTGGTATAGTTGATTTGAAGTTGAATCATAACAACGTACATATAGTATTCAAAGAATCATATCTCAGTCGTAAGGACAGAATCACATACTGTAAATATCTACTGTCTGTTCACTGGACTTATCTTCTGAAACATGCTCACATTTGATCTCCCTTTGTTGATTCTCCACTTCCCTCGACATATCTCTCCAGCCTCAAATGGTTAAGTTGATGCTTTCTTTTTAAGTATATCTACTCACAACACATTTTGCATACATAGATGCATTAATCCTTGATTCAGTAGTGTACCCTATATTGTCTATTTTTGTATGAGTTATCTGTTTACATAGTGTTCGTGACATAGATTGCTACTAACCACAACAATGTTATGTGTCTTAGTGTCTATGATGCGAAGGTGTGTGGACTTATGCAGGTTCAGGAAGGGAGGAACCATGACGTCAGAGAACTAGTTAAAAATGCTGGGCTTGAGATCAGCTTTCATTTCACTCTAATATTTGCCTTTCAACACACATAGTTTTATTCGTTTCAGCCAGGTGATATTCAGGACTCCACAGGCAATGGTTATTCTTCTGTCTTCTCATATGAATAGGGTAATTATCACAGCTCATAGTTTGGTTACATATATGTTTAGGAGAAGTATATTGTTCAACTATCATTGGTGCTACACATCCCCATACAATCTTCACAAAAATCGTATAAAAATCCAGTAGGGGGAGGGGGGCAGCAACTTCCCCCTCCTCTTAGTCTTGTACCACAACACCTTAAATCCTCTCACCAGCACGTCCACCAACATCTGCATCCCCATCCCCATCTCCATCTCCAAGCCATGCCTTGAGACTCGCTTCTTTACCAGCTTTAAACTCCTCAAACTTTGTCGTCTCCACCATATGTCCACCTTCTTCTTCTTCTTCCACATTGGGGCTAGACTCCACCTTCTGTTCTTTAAAATCAATCTGTGGCCATTTGATGTTGCTGGCTTTCTCCTTAGCCGACTTGAACACGGACGTAAAATAGCCGCTGCTTTCACCATTATCATCCTGGCTGTAATCAGAACCTCGCGTTGTTGTTGTTGTACTGTTGGATCTGCTCCAAGGGCTGCGAGAGTTGAGGACCACCCCTCCTCTCCTCGGCATCATCAACGCTAAGGAGCTCTTGATGTCTCCTATCATCTCATCAACAATAGGTGAGCCACACTCTTTCATTGATCTCACCATGTCTATAGAATCATCCACGTCTTCTGTATGCAAAAGTGTCTCACGAGATTTCTCCAAAACGTTGCTGCTGAGGTTAAGGACGTTCGGTGTTGCGTTACGGACGTGCTGCTGGATGTAGTAGAGACCCACTGAAGGTTCGTTCGCAATGTACTTTATCATCTCCGCTAAGCTCTCGTCTATCTCCGCAAAACCATCAACAGTAGAGAACTCATGCATCCTTTGTCAATTAACAAAACCCACAAACATCTTTAAAAATCAAACTAGCACACCTGATTTAGACAAAACAATCACAACATTGGTCTGAAACATCTTAGGTCAGACCAATGCATTAAGACATAACCATGTCTTATCCTTAACTATAAACTTTAAAAAGATCAAAACTTTGACTCCCATAAGCATCACCAAAGCTCAATGATCAGATAATCTCTAATACAATTAATCAAAAAAATTCAAAACCTAAAAAAAAAAAAAAAAAATCAAAACTTTACTACAAAACCACACCATCAAAGAGCAGTGATACAATTAATCAAACACCTAAAAGATCAAAACTTTGACTCCATAAGCATAATCAAAGCTCAAAGATGAGATAATCGGATAAGATTAAGCTCCTCATCACAATAACACAAAACAGAGGTTAAGAAACAGAGGAGCTCACAGGAAACCCTAGAAGACGACGGAGGCAAATCGGAGACTGATAAGGAATTGGAATCTCTGGGTAATGCGTTCCTTCCTCCTCTCATTTGATTATTATTAAAAAGGCAAAACTTTCTTGACCTCACGGTTAAAGCGCAGACGAACATTTTGGGAAAGAGGAGGAAGATGAAGACAATCAAGGTCTACGCTTTGTGTCCACGTCATCTTTCGCACGTGCCTTCCCTACTACCTCGCACGTTTTTGGATTAGTAATTGTTTTTGTCTGATCCAACAAAAAACTATTGAAACTGCAAATGAATCCTCATGTTTAATTACCCCCCCCCCCCCCGGGTATAATTAAGGGGTTAAGACTGGTAGGTGGGTCTATGGTTTGCATCAATCATTTGAAAAGATGGGCCTAAATCGAATGTTGGCTCGGCATTATTTTTAATATTTCTTTTAATAAAATATACATTAACAATATGATAGACATGAAGGCTAATCTAACACTATTAAAAGGAGCATATACTTCCCCCTCCTTAAGCCACGTAGGAATTTTTAATCATCCAATCAAAATGCTCGAATTGTACACGTCATTTGCTTATGTTATGTAATTTCGGCCCGGCGATCCGTTTGCTGAGAGAAACCATAACTTTTTTTGGATTCGATCTACTCTCATCCCATTCTTTCCCGACTCTACCTCCTCTCATCCCATTTTTTTTCCGATTCATCGTCTCTTTATCTCTTTGCATCCAAAGATTAATCTTGCAACTGGAACTCCACTAACCAGATCCGATCTTTTCTGGTTCTGTTCCTCATCTTATAAAGCTTCGGCTGGACGAAGCACTGAAGGGATGGAGAAGACAGACAGCAGCGGCGGAGGAGGAGGAGGAGGAAGACAGTTCGAAGGTCCTGTCATGGAGGTTACTACACTTGATCGTGGCATTGCTAACTCCACTACCATTGATTTCCCGGTATGGGACAAGATCGGCGCCGTGGTTAGACTTACATATGAAATCGGTGAGATCATTAGTAGATGATCATTAGTAACTTTTGTTTTGATCAAGATTTTTTAAAAGCGTGTGTTTTTGTTTAATTAAGGATATATGGAGCAATGGCGGTAGCATGAAGGTTCATATGTTCAGTGACTGGGATTGAATCATCTGGTGGGTTTGATCCTTTTCTTGATGCACTTCTTGCTGGTCTTGGCTATGCAACACCACCTATCATGGCTCTTCTCCTTATTCTCGATGTGAGCATTATTAGTTCTCTTTTGATTCTTATAATATAATGTTAGGTTACTCTGGTTTCGTCAAGCTCTGCTTAGGCGTTCAACATACTAAGGTAAACAAAACTAGGAAACGGTTCAGGTGTTTGGTTAAAAATCATGACTTGGGTTTGTTAAATATCGTGATTTTTGTTTGTTTGGTTTGTTAAAAATCGGGACTTTGGTTTGTTTGGTTTGTTAAAACTCGTGACTTTTGTATGTTTGTTTTCAAATTTCAATGCACAGGATATGGTGGTGGACATTGCTATGAGATGGACGAAGGTTTTGAGAACAGGAGGGTTAGGAGTGAGATTCATGGCTGTGGATCGAAGTACGGGAAGGAAGTGACTGAGGTAATAACATAAAGTTGTAAACTTTGTTTAGAGAGATTCTTGACAATTATTCATGTTTTGTAGCTAAGGGAGTTTGTGCTGAGCCAAGAAGAGGCTTATGAGGTTAAAGCTAAGCAAACCAAGGATGTTGAAGATGGTGATGGTAATAACAAGAATATGCGACCAAGGATGAATTATGAGACTTGGTTTGGTTTTATATCTTTATGAATCTTTAGCTACAATATCTTTGACATTTTTGGTTCGTAGAAAACAATGAAAAGGGGAGTTTGAAATTCTCCAAGAGAGGTATTCTTACTTTGAAGTATCCAATCGAGCATGGTATTGTAAGCAATTGGGATGACATGGAAAAGATCTAGCATCACACTTTCTACAACGAGCTCCGTGTTGCACCTGAAGAGCACCCAGTTCTTCTCACCGATGTACCTCTTAACCTTAAAGCCAACAGGGAGAAGATGACTCAAATCATGTCTGAGACATTCAGTGTCCCTGCCATGTATGTTGCTATTCAGGCTGTTCTTTCGCGGTACGCCAGTGGGTGTACTACTGGTTAGTGTTCAACTTCAAACATGTTAATCTTAATATCTCACTCTGTATTGTAATTGTTTAATTTTGTCTCTTTTGATGTTTTGTATAGGTATTGTGCTCGACTCTGGAGGTAAAATCGGAACGAATTTTTATTAGTATCTTTGATGCTCTGTTTTGTATCATCTCCTCGATTGCCCAAATTTTTATACTGATTTCTCCTTTATAAATTACGTTTCCGTCATGATCTGAGATAAATTAACAATCTTTCTTTCTTGGGTTTGGATGGTTTACTGTTTTTGCTATGTGGATTGGTTTGCTTACAGAGATAAGAGCTAAAAAGTGTAAAGCTTGATGTTTTTTTTTTCTTCAGGTATCTAATGGCTTCATCAGACAAAGAGGGAGAGATTCTACCTGACTACATTGATGGATACTATTCCGTTGATCAAAGCGACATACCTGTCAAGTTTTCTCTTCTCCTAACCAAATGGGACGACGAGGACGATGACGAAGATCCCACTGGTAGCTCGGTAGGGCCTGTGTATCTGCGTGGCAACACTGATAGTGGGAATGAGTCTGTTTGTAAGCTCGCCAAAGCGTGGAAGTTTGATCTATTTGATGAACATCATCCCAAGATCGAAGTGCTTCTTCATGGGATGCGTTGGATTACTCTACGAGGGTTGTGCTCATCCTCATGCCATCCTTCGTCTGGATCTGACTGATTCTCTAATGAAGATTCTCACCGAGAGAGGTTACATGTTCACCACTACTGCCAAGAGAGAAATTGTCCGTGACATTAAAGAGAAACTTGCTTATGTCGCCTTGACTTCAAGCAAGAGCTGGAGACAGCTAAGATCCGTTCTTCAGTGGAGAACTACGAGCTACCTGATGGACAAGTCATCACCATTGGAGCTGAAAGATCCCGTTACCCTGAAGTACTCTTCCAGCCATCGCTCATCGGAATGGAAGCCCCTGGAATCCATGAAACAACGTACAATTCCATCATGAAGTGTGATGTGGATATCAGGAAGGATCTATACGGAAACATCGTCCTCAGCGGTGGTTCAACCAAGTTCCCAGGAATTGCTGACCGTATGAGCAAAGAGACCACAGCACTTGCATCAAGAAGCATGAAGATCAAGGTGGTCGCACCGCCTAAGAGGAAATCAGGGTCTTGATTGGAGGATCTATCCTTGCATCCCTCAGCACTTTCCAACAGGTAAAGAAAGAAAAAAACTCTGCCTTTATTATTTTAAAAGTCTTGGTGGAACTTGAGAGTAAAATATTGAAATATGTTTTGCTGTGTGTGTGTGAATCAGATGTGGATCTCGAAGGGAGAGTACGATAACACAACGCTTTAAAATCATGCCAGCTTAACGCCTTATATTTGCCAACAATAACATAAGTTCAAGTGGAACTCGCTATTTTAACTTATCATATCTTTTGTTAGTTTGATTTACATTTCAAACAACACGTTGAGCAACACCAACCAAGAAATAGAGGACTGAAGGATTAAGAAAATCGGAGTTGTGATCAATTGAAAAATAAGGATTAAAATGAGGGAAAATGTATAAATAATGGTTACGTATCGGAATTGTTATTACAAATGAAATGCTGTCTTCTAAGTGTATTTAGTCATGAGTTTTGTAAAGCTTCAATTATTTGTTTGTTGAGAATTTCTTGTGATGACTAAATTAATGAACATGCATATATCATATAGTAAAAGTCATATTAATTTTTTTTTGTTCTCAGTAACTGAGAAAGTTAGTGACATAAACTAATCTTATAAACATTTTTAACAGAAAAAATCATACTGGAACTGAAAAGCACATGATTATATGCTAAGAATAACATACAAGCAATGCTACTCTTAAATCAATTAATTTGTAAACATGACTTGAGGTGAGTATATAAACGTTTGAATGAATTGTGATTTACAATTTATTTTCATGAGAATCCAAACGTTTGAATGAATGAACTCTATTCATTTGCATTTTCCCTCACCATCCTATGTGTTTTTAGATATTAAAAAGACAAAATAAAGTTTCTATCAATTCAAATTCAATTTATAATTTTGTAAATTAACAATTATATTAAATACAAATATATATTTCTGTTAAGATGTAGTCCAGTGAATAATTTTTTTGCATTAAAAAAATCCGGGCGTAGCCCGGGAAAAGGTTCTAGTCTTATTAATCGAGTATAACTGAAGATGCTCAAAGTTGGCTAACAAATCTCAATATCAATTTATCCCGCAACAAAAAATAATGTGAAAACAACATATCTCTATAATATTATTTGAGAAGACACTTTCTTATGTGTCGCGTTCACATTAACTCTCACGCTGGTTGATTACTATGATACACTTAATAAATTTAAAAAATACATTTACATATTATTATTTCTTTTTAAAAATTTTCCAAATAACAATATAAAATAAAAAGGAAACATTTATAAAATTTACAAATCTATTTAAAAACAAAAATATAAGTATATATAAATATGGTTTCATAAAAAAGGAAAGTTCACAAAATAGTAATATTTAATTTAAATATATTTTAAATAACATAAAATATACTTTTGAAGTAATAAAATACTTTATATCTATATATTCTTAGATGAAAAACAATATTTGTATATAATGTGATTCCATAAAAAATTCACACAATTAATCTTGATATTAGAAAAATAAATATTTTTTTCTTTAAAAAAAATAATTTTAAACAATAAATATATATTTTCAAAGTAATTATTATTTTTGTATATATCTATATATTTTATTAGATGATTACATAAAATAATCAAGTAAGATAAACTAATGTATGTTTAATTGACAAAAAAATTACAATTAATATTCTTGAAATATATTTTTTTTATTTTTAGTATATTTATTTGACTATAATATCTTACAATTACAGCAAAAAATATAAATTCTATTTTACTTATATAATATAATTTTCAAAAACAATAAATTTTTTACTGCATACTTTAAGAGATATTAAAAACAAAACTAAAAATGAATTTTAATAATAAACATTTTTTGATCAAATAACTACAATTATTTTAAAACATCATAACATTATATAATTTAACTAAGTATATATATTATATTTTAATAGTTAGATTTATATGTTTGCTTAGTAATTCTTTGGATTTTTTATTTTCTGTTTTTATATTTGTGGAACTTAATATAACCATAATCAAAACACTTAAGCAAATCAGAATCTTTATTTTAAAATTATTTAAAATAAATTTTTGTTTACCATCCAATCAATCTAAATATTGTAAATATTGATATGTGTTCATAAGCTTCCAAAAATGTATTAGTTACGCATGTATGTAATTTAGAATCAGACAATTTAGTTTCTATTTTTTTTCTTTCTAAGCATAAAATATCTTAAGTTATACATACTCTTACTAGATATACTTATATTTTTAAAATAACAACCGGCATAAATGCAAATAAGACGATTAATCAAAAATGTAATATATTGAGGATAAAAAAGATTATAGTTGAATTTAGAAAAATAGATAGAACTAATATATCCAAAAGATAACTAAATCAACCGTAAAAACAATAAAACTGATGAAATATAACATATCTAAAATTATATATATAATTAAATTAATATAACATTATTAATACAAATTATACCTACAATATACCAAATTGATAACCAAACCGACTATTAATCCAAAAAGTAATTAAACTGACAATAATATATCCAAAGTCATATGTATAATTATAATAATATAATACTTATTTATATAAGTTATACATATAAATTGATTCAAAACTAAAATTAAATATAAATCAATTATTATAAAATATTACTTTTATGAATATTCATACCCGTGCATGAGCACGGGAAAATCACCTAGTACCATATATTGGATGATTCAAATTTAGAGAATATTGAATAAGACTTGTGTTTTTTTTTGTCAACCGTCCATCTATACTAGATTAAATGGTGGTGAGACGAGTTGATTCTTCAAGAAGTACCTCCGTCTGGTCGGGTCTGATCTAATGGGAAAATATATATATATATATCCTATGGTCTTTGATTCTTTCGCTAACGCGTCCACTCGATCATTTATACTCCGAGGAATATGAGACACACTCACCTCCTCAAAATCCTCATGTAGTCTCTGGAAGACCTCGATATCTGTCGTGAACGTCGGTCAATCCGCCGGGTTTGTAATCATGTCCATTAGGTCCGAGTAGTTGTCTCAAACCGTATCGTAGACATCCTTCTATTTCTCAAACATGTAGCTGCCTAAAATATGCCGTCCATCTCCGCATACAAAGCTGAGAGGCTCCTTCTGTATGCACGTAAGAACACGTGCGAGTAAGGAGTTCGGGTAGTGAATTAAACTTCACAATTGTTTTGCAACAAGCGTTATATAGAAGTCATAGAGATCTCAAAAACCTAGTCCCTTAGAATATTTAGGGGGTACATATCTCGTCTCATGATATCTAATATAAACCTCTGCTATTCTGTTTTGAACTCCACCAAAAATTTGAGATCCTTACTTTATCAGTAATACCTTGTGTAATCAAATAACACGACATTGGATATGTCGAAACTGTTTGGACCACAGCTTGGATTAGACTTGTTCCAATACATAATATGAATAAGTACTATTAATAGCAAACTTCAATTTGAAGACATCAAATGTCAAAACAAAGTTAAAGCCGGAGCTAGCTAGGGTCATAAAAACGAATTTCATCGATTGCATCTACTCGTCTTTAATCTGGAGATGAATAATTTATATTCTACCGAAGTGGTCTGACCATTAGACAGACTCACCATCACCTACGCTTATATCTACTGGCTAGGCTATTCAGTACGCAGGTTATATGCTGGTATAAACAACAAAGTTAAAAAAAGAAAAATTAAATGCATATAGTATGTTTTGAGAAATTAATCATTAATGTGTAATATAAAACTACTTCTAACATCTAAGAAAATAGTCACGGATAAATGACGCATACCGTCCGTATATGTTCTTCCCAAGTGATTAATTAAAACATTGTTATTTTTACTTCGAATTGCATACCGTCGTAGCATTTTATGCTCATAATCTATATATGAGTTTTATACTAAGACGTGTGACACGCGGCTAGTCCATGCGTCTGCCATGACACCATGAGAAATTAGCGTGGAACAACACAGACGCAGCCGATGAACAACTGCAATTGTCATACTCCACAAAAACTAATAACAATCATACTTAATCAAACCATGACATCAACAAATTCAGTTATGCAAACCTGTAAAACACCAATACTTGTATTTTGAACTATGACTGAAAAAAACATATTTCGCGGAGAACATTTCTGGTTCGTATAAAACCAAATAATTGAGCAAATAGATTCACATAATACACCCGATGAAGATGGTCCACAAACTTACCATTATTCATTGAATAGATACGTGTGAGCGAATAAATCTACGTACAACTCAGAAATAGAAACACACAACGAATAAGAAAATATATAATACAAGGGTGCTTGCGCATGCATTTATTTATAAAGACCTGTGATAATTGGTGGGTAGGCAAAAGTACAGCAAGGATTAGGTAGTAAACACTATGGATTGTTCCTTAGTCTAAACAGAAGAGTCAAAAGGGAGAATCTTAGTTTAAAGTTTAAACAATTGCCTCACTTCAGTCTTTAGGCAATGTCCTCTCACCAAATAGTGTACTAAAGTATTTTTATTGGGGTCATAATATATAAATTTAATACCTAATTTAGATATAGATAAAGTATTATCACGGTTTGTTGTTACATTATTACAGTGGACAACAGATATGAGGTGTACCACAATTCCGGGTCAATAATAGCCCTTCATATGTATGTAAAGTATGAATATACCCAATATATGAAAAAATGTAATTTGAGAAGAGATAGCTAATAAGTAATAAGTAATAACAAAACGTAATTTGAGAAGAGATAGCTACGCCCAACAAAGAGAGTTTAATACATATAGTGTTCAGAATGGTAATTATAACAATAAAAATTGGAGTTTGAAAAAAAAGGTGGAGAAGATAGAGGAATCCATTTGTGTCCAAACACTTGCAGACAAAATGAGCTTCAGAGAATAGAAAAGCAACCTTTAGCTTTTTTTAGACCACCAGACTTAGAAAAGGATATTTCAAATACTCTCTCTCTCCT